ATGAAAAGGAGCTGAACATGAGTAGTCTTCGCCAAAAAGGTGATTGCATTAAAATGTATGAGATTCCTGGAATACTCTAAGCCCTTTCTCGTTTCAACAATAGGGATTTTTAACCTTTCTCCAGTGGCTAGGTGTGTAATTCACCCACTGACCATATTATTATTTAACATAATAAGTGTCACGATGTGATGGAAAAAGGTGCTCGTCAATTTGGAGGCATAGAGTTATTGGTATCATCTGAAGGCTAGCTGGTTTATCTTGCTTTCATGAAAAAGTACACATCTACCGTGAATAGAAATCGAGATATTTGCAATTGAAGAAGCTGGAGTCACCTCGTGTTAGAGGTAAAATTAAGGGAAATGGCCGACAGAATTTGATTTTCCAAAGCTTGTGTGTTCTTGGAAATTGCAAATTTACTTTGTTCATGCCTTTGATCAAATTTGTTATCCAATAAAATCCACATACAAACGTATTTTAATAAGCATATAAGATGCTGAGTAACACAATATAAACATTTAAAAATTTCACAACGGACGAAAATTGTCAGCTGCTCCGATTTCATTATTTTGAAGAGTGCCTGATTTCACTACGATGCCTCATATAAGATATACAGTATTGAAGGTTCTAAGTCTGCCATTCCATTTAAACTCCTTATGTATGGCTCTTTCCGTCTATGCGGACGGTCAATTTAGCTTAAGGTTGTCTTCATGCAGCTTCTTTCATGGCTAATTCTTCCTATGTTTGAAGCGCAGATTCTGTCGCAGTGCTTGCATGTCAGTGTCGTAGATCGAAGCTCTGTATTTCTGCTGTTTTCCTTTCGTCGTTGGCGCTTCTCAGCCTGGTTGTTTCTAAGGCTGTTCTCTAGCATTTTAGTTCTTTTCTTTATAATTTTCCTCCATGTTTTCCGGTCCTCAGCTATTTCTTCCCAGATTTTAAAATCTACCCCAAGCTTAGATAAGCTGTTTTTGCAGGTGTCTTTGTACCTCAATTTTGGTCTTCCTCTTTGTCTCTTTCCTTGGGCAAGTTCTCCATAGAGAAGTAACTTCGGAATCCGGTTGTCATCCATTCTCTTGACATGACCCAGCCATCTCAATCTTTTTAAACACAGGATAGTCGTCATGCTCTGGAGGTTTGCCTGAGTCAACACTTCAAAATTCGTAACCTTGTCACGCCACGAAATGCCTAAGATTTTATGGCAGCATCTGAGATGGAAAATGTCGAGGCGCTTTTCTTGTCTGCTGTACAAGGTCCATGTTTCAGATCCATAAAGGAGTGTGCTGAGGACACATGCTTCGTAAATCTTCATCTTTGTTTTGATGGTTAATCTTTTGTTTTCCCATGCTCGTTTTGTCAGCCTTCCAAAAGTTGTTGCTGCTTTCCCTATCCTGATGTTGATCTCATAATCAAGTGATGTTGTAGAGCTGATGGTAGACCTCAGGTAACAGAACGTGTCCACTGTCTTAAGTTCCTTGTCGTTCAGCCATATATGGCTCTCCTCTGCACCTTCATGGGTAAGGATGACTGTTTTCTTAACACTGATGACCAAGCTAAAGACCCTGCATGCTGTTGATAGGCGGTCCATCATTATTTGTAGGGTTGATTCACTGTGAGCAACAAGAGCAGCATCATCGGCGAAGAGAAGGTCTCGAACTGCTGTTTTGTTAATCTTGGTCTTGGCCTTGAGTCGAGCAAGATTGAAGAGCGACCCATCAGTTCTCCAGTGGAGGAAGACATCCCCTGGTGACTCTTTGAATGCGTGTTGCAGTAAGACAGCAAAATAAGTGCTAAAAGGGGTTGGTGCTACGACACAACCTTGCTTTACTCCGCTTTTGATGTTGAAACTGTTTGATTCTGAACCGTCAAACTGAATGGTGGCTTTCATATCTTCGTGGAATGAGATGATGAGCTGTAGCAGTATTGGGGGACAGCCAATTTTTCCAAGCAACATGTACAGTCTTGATCAACTGACTGTATCAAAAGCCTTTGTCAGATCGACGAACGCAGTATGTAATGGCAGTTGTTGCTCCCTGCATTTTTCTTGTAGCTGACGAATAGAAAAGATCATGTCCATTGTTGAGCAGTTTGATCTGAAACCGCATTGGCTCTCTGGTAGGACTCTTTCGGCTAGTTTCTGAAGTCGCTTCAGGATGATCCTAGCGAAAGCTTTTCCAGTGATGCTTAGCAGTGAGATACCTCTGTAGTTGTTGCAATCTCCTTTGTCCCCTTTGTTTTTGTAGAGTGTGGTGATTTTGGCATCTCTCATGTCATGTGGAATTTCTGCTTTCAGCCAACAAGTCGTTAGAATCTTGTAGAGATATGAGAGGAGAGTCTCTTTGTTCTCTTTTCAGCACTTCAGCAGGTATGTTGTCATTTCCTGCTGCTTTTCTGCAAGCGAGTTCATCGATTGCAGAGGAGAGTTTTTCTTCTTTTGGTGTTGTATCAATTTCTGACATTTCGGAGAGCTGAGGAATGGCCTCGTGTAGCTGTCTATCAACATGTCGCTCCTCAGAGTATAAGTCTGAATAATGTTCCACCCATCTTTCCATTTGTTTCTTCTTGTCTGTCAGCTGTTCACCTGTCGCAGACTTTAGAGGTGCCACTTTGTTTGCTCTTGGTCTAATAGCAACTCTGATGTTTTCACACATTTTCCTGATATTACCTGTATCGCTGGCCTGTTGGATTTCTGAGCATAACTTGTCCCAGTACTGATTGGCACACTTTCTGATTTCTCTTTGAAGGTTGGATTTAGCAGCATGTAGTTGTTGCCTTGTACTCTCTGTTGGATTTGTGTTGTGTTCTATCAGAATCTTACGCTTTTTCTCAAGAAGAGGTGCTAGTGTTGATGCACTGGCCTCAACCCAGTTCTCCTTGTAAAGTCTTTCTATTCCAAAAGTAATCGACGCACAATTATAAATTGTTGATCTCATGCTATTCCACATGTTGTCTGTGGATGAGCTATCTAGATGTTGGAGCTCTTCTTTAACATGTTCTTGAATTTTTTCCTTTAACGCTGGGTCTTTGATATTTCTTATGTCGATCTTAGGTTTGTTTTGTTTTTCAGCTATTGGGGTTTTCCTTTTGACTATCTTTGCCTTAGCTATCACTAAAAGGTGGTCTGTGTTGCAGTCTGCACTGTAGAAGGATCTTGTTTGCTTTACCATGTTGGCATCTTTCTTCCTGACGATGATGAAGTCAATTTGGTGCCAATGGCCTGATCTTGGATGGCACCAAGAAACCTTGTGTCTGTCCTTGCCACTGTAGACGGTGTTAGCAATGCAAAGGCTGTTATTAATGCAGAATTCTAAGAGTCTCTGGCCATTCTCGTTGATTTTTCCCAGCCCAAAAAGTCCAAGGCACTTGGGCCATACTTTGTTTTCAGTACCTACTCTTGCATTGAAGTCGCCCATGAGAAACAGGTGGTCTGCTTTTGGGACATTGTTGATACATCCTGAAGTTCCTCGTAAAACTGGTCTTTTTTCTCATTTTCTGTTGTTAGGGTTGGGGCGTGGGCGCTGATGAAGTGAGCCTTTCCAGTTTTGGTTTCCATTTCCATGACAGTGATACGTTCGGATATACCTTGGGGGGTGTTGATCCTGTTCAGCAATCTGTTGTGTACGGCAAAGCCCACACCATGGATTCTCCTCTCATCTTCCCCAAGACCCTTCCAGAAGAATGTGTAGTTTCTTTCCCTGATGGAACCAGAGTTAGCAAGTCTTGTCTCTTGCAGGGCAGTGATGTCTATATTGAGTTGTGTGAGCTCCCTGTCTATGATTGCTGTCTTTCTGATGTCCTCTGTTTTCTCCAAGTTTGTAGTGTCCAGTCTGGTTGTCATTGTTTTAACATTCCAGGTCCCCAGTTTCCATGGGGTTAGTTTTACTCTTTTTTTGCCTGGTGCTGGATTTAACGTCTGCCTTTCGGTTTTTGTCCTAGCTCCATACACCCATAGAAGCAAACAGACGTGGCGGATGAGCACCTTACTGACTGGGGGCTGCCCAGTTTGAGACGGGTGGTAGCTGATCAGTGTGACTGAATAGTCACTCCCATCGTCAAAGGTGACCCGTGGCGACATCCTGTCTCGCCAAATAAGGATGTCTTATAACCCGTAAACTGCCACCTCCCGTGTTTTTCCCTTGCTCGTCACAAGGATGAAGTGTCCTCTCCATAATCATATAAATGCTGTTGTAGCTTTGGTTGAGCTGTGGGTCTGATCCGCTGTATTTGCTCTTTTGCAGCGTCCTCCCAGAAATCTTGAAATCTTGACTAAGCTAAATGCCTGGGCCTGACTTAGACTGACTATATGGAGAACGTGCCTTTGCCCAATTTGCACGAACCCCCTCTCGACTTACCTGATTTAGTCCAAAGAAGAGACGAGGTCAATACATTTGGAACCAGTAAAGTTGCAGGGGCTGCCAGAAGATAGTTCGGATCGTTCCTCCCTGTCGACTGCCTTAGGGGCCCTCCCTCCGGATTTTTTGTAGGGTTTACTCCCATAACCTTTCATACTCCCGTATGCACCTACAAGGCAGTAGGAACAGCTGCAGGTAGTGCCATCTACTGTCATTATGGTAGCAGCACTAAGGCTGACCTGACAATTCCTTATAACCCTCAGGATTATGCTTATGAACATTCTATTACTAACACAAAATGTTTGAATCGTCAAAAAAGAGCAAGAAAATAGAGATAAAACTTTATTGTACATACCCTGGTGACTGGGTGTTTGACAACTGCACTTTTTGTAACCTAAGTAGACGTCAGGTTTGGAAAGACCGTAAAAAAACGTAATGTAGTGTAAATATGTTCCAGCTTTCTCGCCTTTCATATGAACAATAAATGCAGGTTGGCTGTGGGAGGGGGGGGGCAGGAAAAGGAATGGGAAACTTCTCCCTTTTACCCAGTGCGCACTGCAATCGAATTCAGTCGAACTGAGTCGGGGCCGGCCCGATGGAAGAGCAAAAACTGCCATTTTGACCCAAAACGACGGATTCGACTCACAACCTTGAAAAAAATGCTTTTGATTTGAAAGTTACAATTTAGTCGAATTCGATCGAATCGTGCCAAAATGGTAGCTTTTGCCTCTCCATTGAGAAAAATGGGGCTGGCCTCAACTCAGTCAAATGAATTCTGTTGGCTGTGCGCACTTGGTTTTAAGGTTCATTGCTAACATGTAGTTGAAACACACCAGTCCTTCACCTACGCCTCCCTCTTATTCCTCTTTTTTTCCGCGCCCGGTCTGCTGGTCTGATCAAGTCAAGTGTCTGCATGGGTGACCGTGACTCGCCCCCTGGTTCAGTTGTACTTTTCTGTTATGGATTTTAAAAGCCAGCGGACTCGCGGAGTTAATCACTCTCGTTTACCAGGCTGTGTCAGCTCTCAGGTAAGCTGTAGACTAGATCTATAGAGCGGTCAAAAATTCGTCGAGCAACTTATTGTCAAATATTTCCTTATTTCCTCAATTACCGAACATAGCCTCTCCACCAGCTTTTGCAGAATGATTTGGATCAATTTGTCTTAACATATCAATATTTCTGTAAGCACCTGTTAGCTGTATTCTAAAAAATTCCTTAATTCATAAATATTAATTAAAAATCAAAGTGGATAGTTTCTACTGGTTTCAAACGGTTTACATTTGGGGCAATGTCGTTTTTAAAAGCAAGTCTGTCATTGGTTTTTCTAATTGCAACATTATGTTATTGAACGTATGTTTTTGAGGTGCATTAGTGCAAGAAATCTGTTCACTATAATTAATTTCTTGTAACAAGTTTTGTGAACACAACGTGATGTCAGAGGACAGAAAAAGTAAAAGTAAAGTAAAGCTCTTTCTCAGCAGACACCACCCTTCACTACAGTTTGGTGATATGAGACGTAAAACAATGACTCGTCATGTCCTACAATTTTTATGTAGGCCTACTTTGGGGGGGGGGGGGGGGGGGGGTTGATTCCAAAAATCCGAATTTAGAGTCGAAAAACTATATACCTATAACTATATATGTGATGTAATCGCTGAGGAAATAATATATTACTATGGACCTCCCCTTCTGATAAATTTATACTATGCGTGTATCCATGAATAGAACTCGTGGCTCACTTCGAGGATGATGCACATTAGGCTTAATTGGAGTTTGGAGAAACACAGACATAGGCCTATTCTGCGAGTTTTCACTCTGTCGCCAACACGTGATTTTAGAGCTAGCTATGATGACAAGTTACCTCCAGGTCACTGACTTTGAGTAACCATTTCATCTACATTATTCATAGTGGAGTAAGGAAATGTTTGTAACACAAGTAGAGTAGCGTCAATAGTCAAGTTGTTAGGCTACCGGATATGTAATCGTGATACATGTATTGTGGGTTCAGGGGTTCGAGCTTCAGCTCCGTCAGATTTTGTATCATTGAGGGAAAAGCAATTTACACGAATGTCATATTTGGCTCGGTCCTTCCGGAGATAGACGTTAAACTCGGAGGCACTTCGTCTTGTATAATCTAGTAGTGTTGATAGAGGCGTTAAACCTATTATTCCATTTCGATTTCTCATTTCACTAGAAGAATCGTGGAACAGAAGATTCAAGATAAAGGGTATAACTAAAAGATAAATAATTGGAAAGGTAGTACGAGAAAGTAACGCAAGGAAAAGTAACTCGAGTAACCTAACTCTTCACCTATGAAATCAGCGAGTCACCTAAATTTTGACGTTAAGGCTACTGTCCTGCGATGGTTTGAGTCATATCTTAAAGATCGAAGACAAGCAGTTGTGGTTGGAAGCAGGTGTTCAGATAATGGTTTAACTCAGATTTGGTGTTCCCCAAGGGTCTGTTCTTGGACCTGTCTTGGTTACAATGTATATTACAACCTATTGTTAATATTTAAAGACAATATGATAATTCATTACCATCTTTATGCTGATGACAGTTATATTTATAAGTCTATTGATTTCGATCAAATATCATTTGTATGTATGTATGTAGTATAGGGTTTTACGGCGCTCGCAAATTCTAAGGTCACATGAGCGCGCGAAACACAAGTTGTTTACTTTCGCAAAAGTTCACTCCACGACTGGTCAACTAATTGACTTTAAAATGCTAAAATGTTAAAATATTAAAATTTAGTGTAAATATATTTGTGATTTAAAACAACTCTTATAGGTAACAATAAAAATTTTAAATAGTACGTTTTCATTTTTCATTTTACAACTTGCCATAAAGCCAATGGCCTTTATAAAATTAAAAATTCTGCTGGGAACAACGACGGAAAAAATATCCTGCAATTTCTTGCATTTATAATATTTCCTTCGGATCTCTCCAAAGTCTAGACATTCTGTTAAAATGTGTCTAATGGTAAAATCTGTGTCGCATCCGACACAGAACGGCTTCTCATCTCCCTGTAGGAGGTATTTGTGGGTCAGGGCCGTGTGTCCGATGCGCAATCGAGTAAAAATGACTTCGTCTCTTCTGGAGAGGTCCGAAGGATTTCGCTGTTCTAGTTTGGGTTTTATTTCATATAGTTTATTACTTTTCTGGTTTTCCCAGTGGCTCTCCCACAGACTGGAGGTGTACTTTTTGACTTTATTTCTAAAGTCAGTCTGTGGGAGAGTGTTTGTCGTTGATCCCAGCAGAAGGGATGAAGCTTTCTTCGCCAGTTCGTCTACCTGCTCGTTTCCTCGGATGCCCACATGGCCGGGTATCCATGCGAACATGATGTTTTTTCCTGTTTCGGATAGTGTATGAATTTTCTGTTGTAACCTAACTATTTTTGGGTGTAAGAGTGTGTAGTTTGTGAGTGAGGTGATGCAAGACAGAGAGTCAGAAAGGATAAGGAAAGATTTGTTAGGAGAATTTTCTACAGAGTCCAGTGCCATGTCAATGGCAGTGGCCTCCGCAGTGAAAATGGAGGCTTCAGGATGGAGGCCGAGGGGTTTGGTGAGTTTTTCGTTGTTTTGGAATTTGTTTATGGTTTCTGGGTTTGTTTTAAAAATGCTGTTGTGCGCTGGATTTTCCGGTGTTGAGCTCTGTTTAACTGCGTATTGTAGTGAGAGTTGTGTGCGTCTGAGTGAGAGTGGTGGTATGTTGGCCTCGGCCTGGAGGCTCTCCACCGGAGAAGTGCGGAAAGCCCCCAGAGCGAGGCGGAGTCCTTGGTTCTGTATTGGATCTAGTATTTTTAAGACGTGTGGTTTTGCCGATCCGTAGACTTGACAGCCGTAGGACAAGACAAGGGAGATGTACAAGTGGAGAAGGTGTTTTGAGTCCCCGCCCCACTCCGGATTCGATAGAATTTTCAAATCGTTTAACGCTTTCTGGCACCTCACACGAAGGTCTTTGATGTGTGGTATGAATGTGAGTTTTTTGTCGAAAATGACGCCGAGGAAACGAGCTTGGTCCTGGACGGGAATCCTTTTCCCGTATAGTGTCAAATCCGGCTGCAGCACACGTCTGCCTGTTCGGCAGAAGTGTACTGCAACCGTCTTTGACGGGGAGAACTTGAAACCGTTATTGTTTGCCCAAGTTTGTGCAGCTGCGTTTGCAGCTGCCTTTCCATAGATCTCAAATGAGGATTTTTCGAACGGCAGCATATCAAGAAGTCGTCAACGTATAACGAGCTGCCTATGCTGTTTTGGAGGGTTTTCACTATGGGATTTATTTTAATTTCGAATAGGAGAGGAGAAAGGATGCTCCCCTGGGGGACTCCTTCCTCCTGTTGGTGGGGGTCTGAAAGGGAGGATCCGACACGAACCTGGAAGGAACGGTTCTTCAGGAAGTTGCCAATGAAGGCAGGGAGGTGACTGCGTATGCCGAGTGCGTGCAGGTCTCGAAGAATGCCGTACTTCCAGGTTGTGTCGAAGGTTTTTTCTAGGTAAAAAAAGATGGCGATCATGTTGCCTCTTTCAGCGAACGTCTCGCGTATAAAGGTCTCCAGGCGGACCAGGTGATCCAGAGGGGATCGAGTTTTCCTGAATCCGATCTGGAGACCGCTCAGCGAGCCCGTCGTTTCCAGAAACCACATGAGTCGCCTGTGAATCGTTTTTTCAGTTAGTTTGCAGAGACAACTCGTTAGTGCTATTGGTCTGTAATTGGATGCGTGTGTGTGTGGTCCTTGTTTGGTTTGGGTATTGAATGACAGTGGCGAGACGCCAAGACTCCGGAAAGGAGTGCGACCGCCACATGTCGTTGTGTATGTATAGTAGGAGTGTGAGTGTTTCTAAGGGTAAGTGTCTAATGATTTGGTTGTGGATGTCATCCGGTCCTGGGGCTGTATCGCCCAGGTCCGAGATGCACGATGTTAGTTCGTCTATTGTGAAGTCTGCGTTGAAGGTTTCAGTGTTGTTTGAGTGGAAGTTTAAGTGTTGTTTTTCTCTGTTAGTTTTGATGTTTTGAAAAGTGGTGTTGTAGTTTGCTTGGGATGAGTTTTTGGCGAGAGATGTAGCTATTGTGTTTGCGATGTCTACTTGTGTTTCAGCTGTTGTTCCATCCGGCCTCTGGACGTGCCAAATGGTGTCTGTGCGTCTACCTAAGAATTTTTAAGCAATTTTGAAAACATTGGTTGAGTGGTGTCTGGCTGTTGATTTTGGAGATGTATTTTTGGAATGATTGTCTTTTGCTCTCCCTGAGGCATCTACGTGCCACAGCTCGATCCTTTAAATAATGTATCTTGTTTTCTATGGTGGTGTTGTTGACGGCCTTTCGATACGCTGCCTTCTTTTTCTTTACTGCGTCCTCACATTCCCAAGAGAACCAGATCTTGTTCTTCCGGGGTTTTGTTTTTGTTTTTGGTATGTGATTGTGGCATATTTCTAAAAGCTTTTCGTGGAATTTATAGTAGTTGTGGTCGAAATTGGGATTAAGAATCTGGGAACATTGATTGGCAAACCCGTCCCAGTCTGCTTTTTTGAAGTTGAAGCGTTCTGGGATCGGGTCGTTTTGGGGGCTATTGTTTTTTAGGAGAATTGGGAAATGGTCCGTACGGTCATCCAGCACAGACCACTCAAAATCTGGGACTAGGTCAGGGGTACAAAAGTGAGGTCAAGGGATGAAGTGCCATAAGTGGCTCTGTTTCTGTAAGTTGGGGATTTATCATTTAAGAGACAGATGTTATTTTGAAATAAAAAGTTTTCTATTATTTTTCCTTTCTGGTCGGTAGGTGTGTCTCCCCAAAGGAGGCTGTGGGCATTGAAATCACCTAATAAAATAAAGGGTTTTGGGAGCTGAGACTTTAAGTCATTTAGTTGGGTTATTTTGAGGGGGTAATTTGGTGGGATGTAAACTGAGCAGATCGTGATTGGTCTGTGCAGGGTGACCCGTACGGCAATAGCCTGGAGGGTCGTCTTAAGATGTACTTGTCTGTGGAGTATGTGGTTATCGGTGTAGATGGTGGTGCCACCGGAAG